CACATATGTCAGAGGGATTTCCCATATCTGACACTTAACACATATCAAGAGGTAACCACGTTAGTCAAAATCAATGAACTCCTTTGTAAAGTTGCATTCATTTTGTCAGATTCTTTTTATTTAGAGTCTCTTGGAAGCAAGCCAAAAAAGTGTATCTATTACTAGTATAAACGAAATTGTTCATGTAATATGAGAACATTTGTATGTCATATGGAGCCCAAGGATAGGAAAATGGCTGACATTTATTAATAACTTGATCTAATAGTTTAAATTATATCAGTATTCCTTCTGCTTACTTCTTGCTTCTCTGTAATTAGCTGTACTAGTCCCTTTTGCTGAAAACTGGCTTTCTCTGCATGGAAGAGAATGTCATATAAAAGGCAAACAACATAAAAAAAGGCTTCAAGTTTGGTTTACTCAAGAAATAGTTTTTTTTATTTTTCTTCCTCCCTTATAGTTTCAAAAATCTTGCCTAGATGTATATAAAAACAAGTCTTGAAGTTTCTGATTAAAAGAAGATTTTGTTCTAGATTTTTCATAAATCTCTTTCCAGTTAATGGAAATAAGCATATTAAAGAAGGACACTAGAATCTGCTGAGCCACCAGTTTGATTTTGGCATCCAATTAAAGAGGATATCCAAAAGGAAGAAAGATAGTATATGGCCAGATGTGGTGGCTCATGCCTGTACTCCCAGCACTTTGAAGGCCGAGGCGGGTGGATCACATGAGGTCAGGAGTTTGAGACCAGCCTGGCCAACATGGCAAAACCGCATCTCTACTAAAAATACAAAAATTAGCCGAGCCTGGTGGCAGGTACCTGTAATTCCAGCTACTTGGGAGGCTGAGGCAGGAGAATCACTTAAACCTGGAAGGCGAAGGTTGCAGTGAGCTGAGATTGTACTACTGCACTCCAGCCTGGGTGACAGAGTGAGACCCCATCTCAAAAAAAAAAAAAAAAAGATGGTGTATATGGCAGCGCAGTGTGAAGTGTGGAGAAAATACTTGATGGGAACTATCAAAGCAACTGGATAGTTGGTTTTTAAGACTCAGAAACAAACTAGATTAAACTAGTTATAACCTCTCTTGACTGTAAAAGTGAACAAAGAATCAGGAGCCAGATGAGCTAAAGGAAGGTTTGGAATTACCAACTGGTGAGAAGAGCACACTCATGGGCCATGTTTGGAATTCAACTACACTCTGTAGTCTGGGGTGGGCTGTGAAGGTCCTGAAGCAGGGCAGTGGGAGGGTCTTCAGAGAGCCTGGTGTAGCAGCACAGTGGGGTAGTGTGTCATTCAGAGGAACCTACTGTGGCATCTCTTTGGCAGTCACACCAGGGTGTTACCAATGTCAGATGTATGTGATATATGTTTATTGTGATACAACCTTGTTTGTTCATGCATTTTTAATGACTTTTAGAGAGGTAGGTATTAACTGTGGCTTCTGGATCCTTTTGGCACAAAGAAGGAAAAATAAACTTTCCATATAACATAGATTCCACATAACATAGATCTTGTCCTTTAAGTTCTTGTCCTCTACTTCAAGTGGAGTCCATTCACAGACTCCACATCCTAGAGTTATGAAATTATTATTATTTTATTAAAGCTGAATTTAGTAAAGTAATAGTGACTAAACAAAGAAAGAAAGTGATACTGGATATTGGAAAAGTAGTCACAGTCTTGTTGATATCATGAGATTTTGGGGTTCTGGTTATCTTAGAAGTGCTCTACAAAGCTCGCAAAGATATATTTACTTTCCTTTATACCTACTTCTATACTTTATCACTACATTTAGTCAATAAATTCTAAGTGTTTCTCAATATTCTTTGAGCTCCTTCTATATACCCAAGTGCTGTAGAGAATTCTAGAAAAGTATACAATACTTGTCAATTTTTAGACATATAGTCTTCTTGGAAGGACTAAATTTACATTAAAAAATGAAAAATAGCAACATAAACATACAAAAGTTTTAAATGGCATTATATAGGAAATGGACTTATGTATAAAATTTATTCCCATAACACATTATTATAATCTATAAGAAAAAAAGCAAAGATGGGATGAAAGCCTCAAATCAAGTTAATACATATTTATTAATCAAAACTATACTAGAAAATATGGGGAAATGCAGGAATTGCATGTGATATTCAGAGAGTTTTCAGTCTCGTCTTGGATATGAGGCACACTTTCGTGAGTCATGGAAACCAAACAGAAAGCATAGGAGAGATGTCATCAAAACTAAAAACCTTTTTAAAAATACATACTAAGGCTTCACTAGACTGTGTTCAGCATCTAACCTGCAGTATCCTTAGGCATCTTTTGCCTTCAGGGTGGTCTTTGCTTTGTCTAATTCTTGTATGGTACTCTAGTATAGAGCTCACATATCACTGCAAACTCATGATAGAACCACCTAGATCCTGGGATTTTGAAGCAGCTTAGTGGGGAAAAATGAATTTTGAGGTCAGAAAAAAAAACGGTATTCAAATGTTAAATCTCATTTTCACCGAGCCTCATTTTCCTCATATATAACATAGAAATAGTGATAATAATGTCTCATCAATATGGTTTTGTGGAGATTAAATGAAGACATATATGCTTATGTATATATTTAATAAACGGTAATACATACTTAATAATCAGTAATTATTATTATTATTGCTTTTGACATGAGCTGTTTTAGAACCACAATCTAAACAGGCATCTTATTAGTGCAATTGCAGCCACTAACATAGCATTGAGATCTCTGCAGTGTAAACAGTTTACAAGCCATTCAATAATATATCTTTACAGTAGTCTATCTCAAGAGACGCTTACTACTAATAATATTTAACATTAATTCTGAAATTTGCAGTTTACAAAGCACTTTCAACTATATCACCTCATTTGATCTTCAACCATTTTGGAAAGTTGTTACTACTATTTCCAATCTATAGGGAAGGAAAATTAGTCAGAGAGGGTTAGTGGACTTGCCCTAAGATCACATCACTAGGAAGTCACTAAACCCCCAAATCATACAATCAGAAAGTTGCTAAACCAACCTTGAGCCCATGTCTTCTGACTGCAAACCTCATACCTTTTTCTCTTCTCTACAGGCCTCTTATTTTTTTTTAGTAAGATCCAGTGAAAAATGCCTTTCTCCAGAGTCTTTATTTACCCACAAGATACATCCCATTGAGAATCATGAAAATATTATGACTAACTAGTTGATCCATTATACAGATATGTATGCCAAGGTTATGTTTTCCACGCCCCGTGTTTTTGGTAAAGACATGAATTTTGTTTTGTAAAACCTGCTGGATTGCTATTTGTTTTATCATTTGATTAGGATCCCACAGAACAGATTGGCATTAAAAAGCTGTTAAGTCTGTTAACTCCAGAGGGCACAGCTAATGAAATATCCCAAAATTTGAGCACTTTCCAAAACCACCATGTCATATAGAAGAACTCTGTATTAATCAGGATGAAAGTATGTCTTTTATCTAAACGAAATCTATAATTTGAGACAAAGATTAAAGATCCTTTGGGGGATAAAGCAAAAGTTGCTGTGAAAATTCTAGAAACTAAAAAGTAAAGATAGCTCTACTCAATATTCATGAAGTTAGATTGGTGATGCAAATAGAGATTGCAATCTCTTATTTTCTAATGATTTGGCTTGTAGCACTCCTATATCAGTTTTATGCAGTTTCCCACTAAACTTTAAAGAGAATTACTGCAAATCGTACAGTTTTTTTTTTTTTAAAAAAAGAAAGTTGAAACTATCTAATATGATTTTCTCTCATATTTGACTGTTAATGTTCTATTTAGGGATTTCTAAGGTTTATGATTAGAGTTGCATAAATAATAAAATACAGCAAGGCATGGTGGCTCACGCCTGTAATCCCAGCACTTTGGGAGGCCGAGGTGGGCGAATTACGAGGTCAGGAGTTCGAGACCAGCCTGGTCAATACGGTGAAACCCCATCTCGACTAAAAGTACAAAAGTAACCTGAGCGCAGTGGCGCATGCTTGTAGTCCTAGCTACTCAGGAGGATGAGACAGAAGAATTGCTTGAACCTGGGAGGCAGAGGTTGCAGTGAGCCAAGATCGCACCACTGCACACTCCAGCATGGGCGACAGAGGAAGAATTTGTCTCAAAAAAAAAAAAAAAAAAAAGAAAAGAAAATACAAGATACAGCATATATATTATGTAAACATAGATGTTGATAAGTGAAGCCTTTTTGTATTGAATATAGCATACTCTCAAAAGGCAGTTTGAAGAAAATAACTATGAATATTGGTTTAGGTTTCATTTTGCTTCCTTGAGAGAGAAATCAAATTCTTTTAGCAAAGTCATTTCATAAACAAATGATACAGGTCAAGTGAGATAGCTCATGCCTGTAATCCGAGCACTTTGGGAGTCCAGGGCAGGTAGATCACAAGGTCAGGAAATCAAGACCATCTTGGTCAACATGGGAAACCCCGTCTCTACTAAAAGTACAAAAGTTAGCCGGCGTGGCGGTGCGTGTCTGTAATCCCAGCTATTTGGGAGGCTGAGGCAGGAGAATTGCTTGAACCCAGGAGGCGGAGGCTGCAGTGAGCCGAGATCATGCCACTGCACTCTAGCCTGGGTGACAGAGCCAGAGCGAGACGCTTATCTCAAAAATAAAAAAGAAAGAAAGAAAGAAAATACAAGCTTTAACTCTCATCTAATTTATTAGAAATCCTTGCCTTACACATAGTAGAAATCCTCACCTCCTACACTGTTTTGTAGAATGTAAGAGAAAATGAATGTAAATTCTATGAATGCTTACTTTATTTCTTTATGTGGTAAATGTAACAAATATTTGAGGTGGGGGAAGGTACAGGAAATCTTAGTCATTTTATTTATCCCACTAACACTTGACACAGTGCCTGTACAGGTCCTCAAGAAATGCCTGCTGAGCTCTTTGTTAAATAAGTTAAGCTAAATAATCTGTCTCAGAATACATTATTCATTGTTTAATTTTTTTTTTATTTCTTTTTTCAGGCCAGTCCTGCTCCTATAATTGTCAACACAGATACTTTGGACACAATTCCTTATGTAAGTAACTTTTTCATTAATACCTTCTTTTAAAACTGTGGTAGAACTTAATTGGCTGAATTTAAATTCAATTGATATTTAGTTTCACCCAAACGAAATAATCTTATGGAATGACATGTAGTTTTGTAAATTTTCTTTTAATAATTTCTAAATCTTGTCTTAGTAATCAAATATTTCCCTCTTTCATTCATGTTTTGTAAAATACAAGGGCCCATCATGAAAAAAAAAAAAAATAGACAACGCTGTTCAAATAGTGTTAGTTTGCTAAGTGGCTCACTGAAAAGAGACTGAATTGCTCATAGACACGAGCAAACTTCTTTGGGTTTCTTATGAAAGGAATATTGAAGTCAATTTCTATGACAGAGTCTGGAACCTAGAGTAAGTAATCAATAAATATTTTTATGGATTTTTTGGTCTTCTAATAAGAAGTGGACAAAAGTTTTGTGAGGATAGAGCCTACCTATATATAATGAAAGTTATGGTTTCATAAAAGCATGGAGCATGATCAAGCAAATCAATGAAGCCTAGATTCTGTACCTGTAACACAACCACTATAATGGCGAAAGTTCTTGAAGACAGAGTCTGGCTAGGCAGAGAAGATTGGAGACCAGCTATAGGCCACAGTGTGGGTGAGTGGTTGACATTATGGAGGTCCAACAAGGCTTTGTGAGTGGGCTGTAGCTGATGAGTGGAGGATAGTGATCAAAGAAGATGGGACAGCCACAGATGCATGCTAGACAGGGGTATGAAGCTGAGAAGAAGGGCTGCCGGGGTAATGGACAAGAACAAACAGATTCCTTCCCTTTGATTAAATGTGTAAAGCACATAAAGCACTTAGAACAGTACCTAGCACAAAGTAAGTACTTGGTAAGTACTGGCTCTTCGCAGTTTTAGCCCACAGCCTCAAATCCCTTCAATGACCAACCAAATCACAGAAACAAATGGAGCAGTCAGAGTAGGGACTGTGGGGAATAGAAAGCACATGGCCATTTAAAGAGAGCAACTGCCACTTGGAACCTACTGGTGCCAGATCATTTTACAAAATAAGATGGAAATTTGTACATGTTTGCAATTTCTAAATACAGGCAACTAATTTTCAAAAGTGCAAACACTGTGTCTGCCAAACAAAGTGTGTCTAGTCCATAGGCTGCCTTTTGAGAGATGTTACCTCAAAGGAACTGGCAGTCCTGAGCAGGTTCTGCAATCTGGGACTCAGTCACAGGGGAGCAGAATGTCAGAACTGGAGTACAAGGTTGGGACTTGAGATAAGAATGAGGAACTAAAACTGGGACACAGGGTCAGGCCAAGAATAACAGCAAGCTTGACTTAATGCTGAATCACCTGAACTACTGAACTAGGGCTTCTTAAATCTTTCTGCACAAGAATAGTTTGGGACCAGACCGGAAACAAGGTTAAGCTTACTAGAAGGAATCAAGAGGCCCCAACACTGGAAAGTAAAGGGCTCTATAGAAGGAAACAAAGCAATGTCTTAAAGGCACCTACATCCACTATTCTCTCACTCCTCATACCTTTCTTTACTTACCAAACATCTGTAACAGGGTATGCCTAACACTGTTGTAGGCACTTAACAAATTTTAACTCATTTAATCCTCATAACAATCCTTTGAGGTAGGTACTATTAATTTCTCCATTTTACAGATGGGGAAAATGAGTCATAAAGAGGTCAAGTAACTGGTTCGAGGACTCACAGTAAAAGGCAGAGTTGAGTCAATCCAGATAGCCTGGCTGTAGAGTTAGAAATGTTATTTAACTTCTAACATGTTTCTTTCTTCCCTCCCTTGTTTTCTGCCTGTCAGCTTGGGAACATAGTTTCCTTACTTACTCCCCTGATACATGCAGATTTGGATGAGAGATAACTTGTCACAGAAGCTTCAATACATTCAGGATAGGGATCCATATATATATGAAGGAATCTTACGTCCCAAAAAATCTCTTCACTATAACCATTGTCAAAGCATGTGAGCAGTGCCCTCAAGAAGTAGGCCTGGAGCACAGAGTTGATTTTGTAAATAAGACCACTTTCTTGTGGTGGATCTATATTATTTCACATCTTCCTGTTAGGGTTCTGGTGGCGTAACTGCCAGATGCCCTCATGTGGAAATAATTTATCAGTAAGATCTAAGGGTCTTGTGTAGACATGTTCAATTGGTATCCCAATTGATTAGCTAGTAAAATCAGTCACAAATAACAAATTCATCAAATTATTCCTATTCTTCCAAACATCAGGTTTGTATCTGACTTTGACTCCTTCAAAAATTACTTTTATTCAACTTTTTTTGTTGTTATTGTTGAGTCAGTCTTGCTCTGTCACCCAGGCTGGAGTGCAAATGGCCTGATCTTGGCTCACTGCAACCTCCACCTCCCAGGTTCAAGTGACTCTCTTGCCTCAGCCTCCTGAGTAGCTGGGACTACAGGAGTACACCACCATGCCCTGCTAATTTTTTTTTTTTTTTTTGTATTTTTTAGTAGAGACACGTTTTCGCCATGTTGCACAGGCTGATCTTGAACTTCTGATCTCAGTGATCTGCCAGCCTCAGCCTCCCAAAGTGCTGAGATTACAGGTGTGACCTACTGTGCCTGGCCTAATCAACTTTTTCATACTTAATGGAACCCACTTTGTGCTTCCTTAAGGGTAACGATCTTTATAGTGGTTTGTGAGCAGCTTGATATGAGGAAAATGTCCCAATTATCATGGTAGTATGTTCTTAAGTAATGTATTTAATCTCTATGCACCTAAATTAACCTATAAGATAGGACTTATAATACCTGCCTCAGAGATTTTCTTAGCTTCTGGTTGATAGCAGCTAAAGTATTTATCATTTTTTTGAAAAAAATAAACACTTATGAGGTAAAACATGCTAAATTCTAGGAGAATGGTGAATATGAACACCTTCCCCAATGTAGAAAAAACATGAATACATTATGTATTGAAAATGGCAGATTTAGCGCATACTCATTAATGTGGATAAGCTTTGGTTCTTGGCAGAGTCCCAACTCTCCCCTTTGTTCCTCACTCACTGGGTAACCTTGAACAAATTACTGTTCCTTTCACATTCTATTTTCTCATTCCCCAGTGTTCTATACTTTGTTTTCCTCTTTTCTTCCTCATGTTCTAGTTGTTCACATAATTTCAGCTCTATTTAATGAAAAAACTATTTCAGAGTTCCCTAGGGCATTTTAGGCATGTTGCATAAGAACTTTTCCCTCTTAAAAATATTATCAGAATGCCAAGCTGTAACATATATTAAAGTCTTTATAAAAAATAATTTCATTGCAAGTAAATGTATTAATTTTACTGATTAGCAAATTTGATTTTTGATAGAAACGGTTTTTGTGGAAATGGTTCCTTGGCACAAATGCAAATGACAATTGAATAGCTGCAGGAAATTTCTAGGGTCAAAGGAAATTTTTATGTAAGTATCAAACAAAATACAAAATATATTTAAAGAGACTTCTTTGTATTAAGGAAGATAAGTTGAAAGACATTAGAGCTTGCATTTATGAAGGGGTCACTGAGGTTCTTACACAAAAATGCCTTAAATAAGCTTTGTCTTATATGAGGTCATGATATATTAGGGTTGGGTATAACCTTAAATGTGGCATAGTCTAGCTTCTCATACAAAGCAGGAATCTCTATATGAAAATTAAAATCACCCAAGCAGAAACAAAGAGAGAGAAAAATTATTTTTCCATTTCAATACTATCTAGTTTCTATTTTTTGATCAATATTTTTATTCTTCCCCATTACATGTTGAATATTGTTTCATGCCAGGTACTGAAAATATTTGTTCTTAGGGAGCTCAGAGTGATTAGAGCCTGCTTGTGAATCCAGCTCCCTGAAGGTTGACTCAATCAAATAATAATGCTTTACTCTCTGGTACTCTGTAACCAACTGACATTGCGCTTTCCTCTCCTTTCAGTAGACACTTTAGAGTTCAATATTGAACAGCACCCTCACAAATAGTATTCTTTGTGCTTTAGAAAATAAAATTAATCAGAGAGATTCCAGAATCCTTTTTTATTTTGCTCTAACCTTCTCTAATATTCATTTTGTATTTTGGTAATATTCTGACCTCTTTTATACAAATGCACTGTTGAGAGAGGTATACTTGAGAATCATGCGTTTTAAATCTGTTAAATAACTTGGAGTTCAATCAACACACACCTTCATTTTAAAGATACAGATTTTCTATCTCAACTAGTAAATGGTAGTGCTTGATCTACCATTTACTATTACCTCATGTAGTTGCCAATTTTTGGTGTGTAACCACAACCAAAAAATCAGTGGCAATGAGCATTTTTTTCTTCTCTATTTATCAGTTAGCTAGGACAGTTGCTTCAGGCTGCAGAATACAGTATTCTCACCTTATCCATTGTATCAGGAGACTTGATACATTCCAAGTCTCCTGATGGATGCCTGAAGCTGAAGATAATACCAAACCCTATATACATGAATTTTCCATCTTAACTATCAGGCACTGTGGCCATAACTTTTGCAGTTTGGGGTACAACAGCAAAACTAGCATGATTCTATTTTTCCTTCTTCACAAGTTCATGGATGAAAGATTCATTTTTACTGTAGATCTTAGCAACTTCAGCATACAGTATTTTCTCTTCTTTTTTTTCTTAAGTCAGGAATTTTCATGTTTTCCCTTAAAGGAAGCTTTTTAGGGCTTCTCTTAAGCATATCTGAATTGTCAGCATCACTATTCTTGTGCTTTGGGGCCATTATTAAGTAAAATAAGAGTTACTTGAACAGAAAAACTACCATACAAGGATAGTCAGTTTGATCACCCAGACAGCTACTAAGTGAATAAAGGGCAGGTAACATCTGCAGCACAGATACCCTAAACAAAGAAATGACTCACATCCTGGAAGAGATAGAGTGGGACAGTGAGAGATTTCATCACACTACTCAGAACAGCAAGCAAGTTGGAACTTATGAATTGTTTATTTCTGGAATTTTCCATTTAATATTT